CACACACACTTCCACACACTCATTCTCACAGAGACCGTTAATTACAAATGATTTCAAATTGTATCTGTCCCATTATAATGTGCACTCTTGTTTTCTTTTTGTCTTTTTGTCCTTTCTTGACTCAGTTTCATGACATTGTTACATAATTTAACATCTCTTTCCTTCATTCTTTGTTCAGCCTGTTAGCATTTGTTCAGGGGATCATTACCATGGCAACGCACTGGAGAAACGTTATTGACAGCTGAACAGGCAGCATGGTTAACTTTGAAGCACATGGTGACAGAGAAAAGAGGCTGATTGCGATGTAATTCCACAGAATGAGAGGAGGGGTAAAAATCAGTTGAGAGAACAAGAAAAATAAGTACAAGGGAAAATACACAACAAAGACACAAACTGACAGAGGCAACTTTGTAGTTAAATTGGGGCAAACTTAGAGGGGACTCCAGAGACAAGCATGAGCACACACTTGTGTCCATTTAAGAGTCTTGACAACATCCTGTAATGTTGCTTTTACAGTCCTCTTCATGCATGTTTTCTGGAGTAATGTGCTCATTATTTGTTGGTGTGCATTTAACGGATTTTAACTCCACTCCTGCCAGACTAGAATTTAAAACAAGAGTCCATTCCAGAGACTTCAGTCCCACACAACAGATCCATTTCATCCCAGTCACATAACTACAGGCATTATCAGGACATATCGAGGATCTTTTCTATCGTACATTGCTTAATTTGTGTGCTTTTGTCAATTTCCTGTAAGGAAACCTTTCACATGCGCTAAAAGTCTCTAAAGACATCCACACTGTACATGAAATCTACACATATCTTAAAGCTCTTGGAACATTTATGAAGTAAAACTCAAAATCCAAGATCAATTAATTCATACTTGCACAAGTTCATTCACAAGTCCGCATGAAAACTGCTTGTCTTTATACATAAACAAACAAACAAGGGAAGGAACAAAAGTTTTTTTTTTTGTTTTGTTTGATTAACGTTAAGTGTGTTAATCATGTTAAATACGTAAAAATCTCCTTTTTTAATTCAAAATTACAATATTTAAGCAAAGTACAAATAAATTGTCATCATTATGACAATGGAGATTTAAAAAAAGGAACATAATTAAGTTGAGAGAGAGATGAATAACAAAACAGAAGCGGGAAGTACAGAAGTGGGAGAAAAGGAAAAAGTCAGAAAAGAGCAGAAGAGAGAACAATGAGCAGTGTAATTGTACTAAATGACGTTGACCATTTCCACTGCCACAGGGGACCAAAGAAAACAAACCAAAGGAGTGAAGGGAGAGCGGAGGGAGAACAAATGAGAAGAAGACCAGGAGAGAAAAAAGGGCGAGAGATGAAGGGAGCAGCTCGAACAAAAGGGGAAAGAGAGAGACGGCAGTGAATGAGCTGATATACACATTAGCGTTCACACATAAAAGAGGGCAGGACGGCTTGTTTAAATTAGCATTATGACACAGCGTCCGAAGGCATGCATGAACGAATGATGTGTGAATAAGTGTTAAGTAAACACACTCGAGCGAGCTTGTCGGGCCGATAAAGTGATTCCTCGAGAACACTCAAACTTGTGCTGAGTCAGAAACACACGCTCGGGAAGGAGACGAGACAATATCACATTTCCCTTTTATCTCGCTCACACACATGCATAAACAGCCTCCATCTGCGTATGTGCCAGATGAAGAGCCTGCCTGATGATCACTTGGCAATGGCGATCAGACAAAGTGGCCAATATGCTCACTAATGGCCTGTCAGACAGATGAGAGACAAACTCCCACAGAAACCTTTGCACTGCTCTCTTCCAAGACCGCCTCTCTCTCTTTCATTTCCCTCCCATTTTACACACTTTCTTATTTTGTACTAGCCTTCTTCTTCAGACATGAAGACTTAGTAGAGATTTGGCCTTGGCATGTGTATTTGGCATATGAATTGTGTGTTAAACAATATGAGGGAGAAAAGAAACGAGCTTTGCTGACAGAAGGAACCATTCTAACATTTCATTGTCGTACATAGTTCTCCATTAATTAATTCCCTAACCAATGGCAAGATAATAGGATCCTTGATTCAGTCTCATTTTTGTCAGAACTGAAGTGTGTCTGACAGTAGTTGAGTCAGTGCAGGGCTGAGCAGAGAGCCGACAACTGGGTGTAAAGAAACTTCAAGGCCTGATGATGAAGAGATTATCACATGGGGGGCAAGACTTACAGCACGGCCACACAACAGTGTGACTTTTTTTTCAGATTAGCAACAACCACTGTCCCGTAAGTCCCATATTTAAGTCTTTTTAACATGTTTCTTTTTTGAACTTACGTTTACATTTGACTTTGTGTGCGGTTACTTGCTTTCTCGCTCTTCGCGCGTTGGCCGAATTTTCATTTCTGTGAATTTTAGTGAGTACTGCCACCCGGTCCAGGATGACCACTCGATCCCATCGGCGTAAGAGGTGTGCTGTCCACGCAGGTACTGGCCGTTAAGGTTGGAGGTGTGGCAGTTGCGGTACCACCAGGCGCCGTGATAGAATGAAGCACAGTTGTTCTCCGAATGATCGTTGTCTCTGTCTTTTGTCGTGAACTTCATTCCATTGTGCTTAAGCAACGAATCTCCTACAGGTATACAGGTGAACATAAAAAAAATATAAGGGAGAAATTTGGGGTCAGTAAGATTTTTTTCTTTTGAAAGAAATTAATACTTTTTTTTTTTTCAACAAGAACAATTTAAAAAATACAAAAAGTGACAGTAAAGGCATTTTAAATTTGATGAAAGATTTATATATATA